CAGGGGAGGAGCAGAGCCGCCGCGGCCGGAGGCTCCGCTCCTCCCCTGACTCTTCGGCTCTGTTTAAGAGCCGACCGGCCCCAGCGCTACCGGCTTCGGGCAGTCCCCATGCCTCCGGACCCTGCGCTGCCGGAGCCCGGGAGGGGAAGTGCCCGGCCGGCGGCTGGGGTCCGGAGGCAAGGGGGCTGCCTGAAGCCCATAGCGCTCGGGCAGCTCGGCTCTTAAACAGAGCCGAAGAGTCAGGGGAGGAGCAGAGCCGCCGTGGGAGGGGAAGTGCCTGGCCGGCATTTTCCCGAACATGTTCGGCTTTTTGGCAATTCCCCCCGGACGGGGGTTTGAGTGCCGAAAAGCCGGACATGTCCGGGAAAAACCGGATGTATGGTAACCCTACTCACTGTGTTCTGTACTTTAGAAGCAGCCAGAAGCCAGCCAGAGCAGTGGGTGTGTGCAGCTAGGCCTGGCATATCTGTGTACAGATCGTAAACAGCGGGATTTGGGGCCTGGCTGTGACACTGAAATGGGGCCCCTATCCCAGCAGCAGGAGGCACTGAGCTTGTTACTCGGTCGGTCTGATACATCATTAGGGACTGGAGACCTGGCCGGAATCGCCAGCTGAACCTGAACCTTTCACAAGGGTCAAAATCATTCCTCTAAAACCAGGTCCCCTCCCCCGAACCTCAGCAGGAGCCCTGCCCTCCCTTTGCACCCAGGCACACTGCCCTGACCCCCAATTCCCTACCTCTGGTTCCCCAGTTTATTACACCTGGGCCTTCTTCTGCCCAGCCCTTTAATCCACCTGCCTCCCCTCGACCCCTAATGAGTCACCATCCCCATCTCCCTCCCCCGACCCTCCCCTGCTTCAAAAGCACATATCCCCTCTCCTATTTGTCCCAAGTGAATCTAGGGAGCAAGAAACAGCCAGATCTCCCTCTGTAGCAGCCCAGCCCATGCGAGTCCCTAAAGGCCAGAGGCTCCTGCAGTGACTGGGAACGCACTTGGGGTGAGAATCCCTGGAACTGAAGGTGAACTGGCTTCCCCAATTCGCCCCAGTTAGAGTCACACACAGTGAATCTGGTGCAGGAGGAGCCCTGAGTGCAGAGGCTCTGTGGGCACTGGTTGTGTCCCTGCCCCTCCGGTGGGTCACCCAGAGTAGGGCATGGCCTCGGTTTCCAGCCTCAGTGGCTTGGTCCCAAATGCTGCTTGCTCAGGCTGGCCTGGGGAATAGGGGGGATGGATCCAAAATCGCCATGGGAACCTGGCTCTGGGATTCTCCACCCCCCCCTTCTTTCTGCCGTTCTACACCCCCTCCTCTGCCTGAGCCCTGCTCCCTCCCCTCCATGGGTACTCACCTTCCGTTTTCAGTGCGGCCTGGTCTGACTGCAGCCTCTTCAGATCCGTGGCCAGCTCCACCTCTGAGAAAGAAACAGAGCTGATCACATTCCTGGGAGGGTGCGTCATGGGGACCCAGGGCTCAGTGGGAACAAGGAGGTGGCCAGGGAATGGGGGATGTTGTTGGGAGGAGGAGGAGTAACATGACTGGGGTGCAGGGGGCTCGTAGAGATGATGCTGAGCTGTGGGTCTGTGAGGGCTCCAGTACTTACCAGTGCTGTGCATGGTGGACTGGTTGAAATGAAGCGTCTTCAGTTGCTTCCCTGTCTCAGAGCCTGGAAGAGACAGAGGCCGGTGAGCTGTGAACTGCCCCTCACCTCATCTCGTGGGGCAGGGCCATGTTCCCTAGCAGAGTGGGTCTGTCAGGTACTGGGGTCTCCCGGGGCTGCTTTCTTTCCTGGGAAGAGGCGGCGCTGGTGGATTTGCTTTCGTCCCCGGCCATGATAGTCCATGACTCAGGCTCCGAGATGGAGAGCGACTTGCCCCACGCCAGGTAGTGAAGCAAGATTAGAACTCGGAGCTCCCTGTCTTGTGCTCATTCCCTCAGACCCCACCTCCAGCTGCCAACCCTGCCTGGGGAGAGCTTGTTAGTGAGTTTAGTTAGGGCCCATCCAGACTAGGGAAATTTGTACTAGTGTCGCCGTGGACTGGTATTTGCACCACATAGGGGTGGTGAGTTGTATGGGCCTGTGGTGCCTGGGCTCCAGCAAATTCAGGGCCCGGGGGGCCCGGCTCCACCAATGTTCTGGGTCCGGTCTCTCCCCTGGCCCCACCTGCTGCCCCCATGCGCCTCCCCCGGAGCATCACCTGGCCCCGCCTGCCGCCCCCGCGCACCTCCCCCGAGCATCCCTGCCTGCCCTGGGCAGCAGGCGGCTGCCCCCTGCAGCTCCACGTTGAGCTCCCTTGGCAACTGCTGCTGTGTCCGGCTACAAGGGAGCAGCGCCAGGGGCAGGCTGAGGCGGCTGCTGCACCTGCGGCAGGAGGAGGGAAGGAGGCGCATCACCACCCTACCCCCGGCAGGTGACTCCGAGTCAACTCCAAGGGGGGTGGGTGCTTATCCTGGCTGGACCTCCTGAGCAGCAGCCTGGGGGGCCTTGGGTGAGTGTCGTGCTGGGGGGGCAGGGCAGGGAAATTCCCCCTCCCCCGGAGCTTGCTGCTGCTGGCAGGGAGGGGGCTGGGGGGAGTCTTCCTCTCTGGTCCCTACCCCAGCCCTGGGCAGCCTGCCTGCTGCACCCCAAACTCCACATCCCTGGCCCAGCCCCATGCCCCACATCCCCTCCCGCACCCCAACCCTGCAATTCAACCCAGAGCCCGCAACCAGCACTCAACCCCCCCCCAGAGACCGAACTCAGCACCCAAACCCCGTCCTGCACCCAGCACCCCAAGCCCCCTCCCACACCTCCTTCTGCACTCCAACCCCCTATCCTAGCCCGGAGCCCGCACCCAGCACCCCAAACCCCCTCCCGCACCCTGTCCTGCATCCCAACCCAGAGCCCGCACCCAGCACCCAAACTCTCTCCCAGAGCCCGCACCTCTCTGTGATGCTCTGTACCTCGGGAGAAACACCCAGGATCCCTATGTTCATCCTTGTAAAATGATTGTGTGGTATCCAATGCAAAGTTTGTCATGTCAGGTGTCTTCAGAAGGCTCATGATGCACTGAGCATGGTTGTTACAGTGATGTTATAGATTATAATTTCATGTATGTAGTTATGAGGCTGAAAATGTATCCTCATGGCTTAAAGCAAGCCCAGAAAAAACTCTCCATAGCAGAGGGGCAGTTCACACCTCATCAGGGCAGGTACGGGACAAACCCAGCCTAGCCTCATAGGAACAAAAGACGCTGGCCTAGGCAGCATCAAAAGGATCTGTTAGACTCTCGAGGGAGTCACCCCCCTTCCTTTGGTCAGTTTGGCACTGCGATGCGGTAATGCTCACCTGACTCTGAAGGGGGGCGGCAAAGCCAAGAAGGAAAAAAGGACATGATAAAAGGGAGAGACATTTTCCATGCTCTCTCTCTCATCCACCTCCATCTACAGACACCACCACTACCAAGTGACTGAACCACTGATCAAAGGGGAGAGCCTGGCTGAAGAGCAACCAGCCAGCCTATGGTGAGAAGCATCTAAGTTTGTAAGGACATTGAAAGTGTTAAGATCAGCTTAGAATGCGTTTTGCTTTTATTTCATTGGACCAAATCTGACTTGTTGTGCTTTGACTTAAAATCACTTAGAATCTAACTTTATAGTTAATGAATCTGTTTGTTTATTCTACCTGAAGCAGTGCGTTTGGTTTGAAGCATGACAGAGACTCCCCTTGGGATAACAAGCCTGGTACATAACAATTTCTTTGTTAAATTGACAAACTCATATAAGCTTGCAGCATCCAGTGGGCATAACTGGACACTGCAAGACGGAGGTTTCTAGGGTTGTGTCTGGGACTGGAGATATTGGTTAGTGTCATTCGCTTGCAAGTAGCTGGGAGCAGCTTACATGCCAGAGGCTGTGCGTGAACAGCCCGGAGTGGGGGTTCTCACAGCAGAGCAGGGTAAGGCTGGCTCCCAGAGTCGAGGATTGGAGTGACCTAGCAGATCACCGGTCCGGATAACACCAGAGGGGAATGTCACACCCTCCCGCACCCAAACTCTCTCCCAGAGCCTGCACCCCACACCCCCTCCTGCACCCCAACCCCCTGCCCTCCACCCAGCACCCAAACTCCATCCTAGAGCCCGCATCCCTCCCACACCCAAACTTCCTCCCAGAATCTGCACCCCAAACCCGCTCCCACACCCAAATGCCCTCCCAGAGCCTTAGGCAGGTGTGTGTGTGTGTGGGGGGGGACGGGGTGGTACGTT